ACCTTGCATGTCCAGGAAGGTAACAAACCGTTCAACAGGACCCGATGGCAAAACGTACCTTAGAATGCAGGTGAGCTGATCAGCGTGAGATACATTTGGGGTTGAATCTACAGAAACCGAGAAATATTTTGCCGACTTCACTTCCGAAATAATGTGATCGAGCACACGATTTCCCATCAAATCGATTAATTCTTCACAAATTGTCTTAGACAGATAAGATGTGTGACCCCGTCCCTTGTTTGCGTGTAACTTAATATGCTGCGCAAGAAAGGGATCGAACTTTGCCACCAGTTCCAATACGCCCAAGTAGTTTCCGTTCTTGGCTGAACCGACAACTTCATCTGAGCCACGAAATGCTAAGCCACGCTCACCCAGTAAGCGAATAGTTTCGACCGCCCGCTCCAGGACTGAGCACCAATACTCGCGCTCTGTCTTCGTCTGTTTGACTAGTTCTAAATCAACACGAGAATTTGCATCACTGCATTGTAGTACCTGAACCATGGGTTGTTGGTGATTTGAACTTCTCTCATGGCGTGAAATTTGTTGAGAAGCGTGTTTCCAGTCACTGCATCCCTGCTTTCCAAAAACGGAGACATCTGTCATCAGTTTGCATGCAAAACAGTACAGTGCATGTTGGGATGGTGAGTAACAGAGCCAAGTGCGAGGATGTTGCTCCTTCGTGAGTTGGTGCGTATACGTGAACATACTTTTCTGGCACTGTCGCTTGTATTTACCTCCTTCGAGTAGTGTAGACGTAGCACTAAAATCTGCGTCCGAATTACTGCAGTCGCTACTTCCTTTCGTTGCCCAGTATTCTCTCATACTGTTCGAAATGTTATCAGGCCACAATCCTAAATCACACGAATGGGGATCGGAAGGATCATTAGATGTTACAGATGTCTCTGTTGCCGGTATTGTCTCAGACACAGTTGTGCTCGATGCACTAGCGCCATCATCATGATGCTGAGATTGCACATCCGCAAGTACATCTACAGAGATGCTGCTACTACTGGCGTCCAAGTCGCTAGTCTCACCGCTTGGATTTGGAGCGCTGCTATTGGAACTAAACAGTGTTGAGATTTTGGGTACTTTGCTCAATAGGTTGCGTTCCTGTGCGGCACGTTGTTCCTTCGCTTTGCATTTTGCTGCTCCAGAGACGTGTTTACGATTCTTGTCTGGGTCTTGACCGCCACTTGCATAACTCATTGCCCACTCTACTGTAGCAAGTCTGTACAAAAAAGTTTTTAAAATGCCCTTACACTGTTACAGAGACTAAAATTTAAAAAAAAATCCCGAAGTTTCACGGCTTCATGCCCAAGATAGCAAGACCCTTGTATGTATGTATAGGTTATTTTGAGGCAACGAGGGGATATATGTGATTTATTCACCGAGGCGCGCAGTGCCGAGGTGAATAAACTCATATCCCCGAGGTGCCTCAAAATAACGTACTTAGTTTTCACATTGCGAGGTCGCGTTAATGGTCAGAATAGAAATAATTCTTAATGCCATATTGCCTTCATTATGTTGTTGTTTTTTCTCATTTTTTTGTGCTGCAAAGACATTACAGGTGAATATCAGAAGGGATTATTAAACGGAAATTGATTAGAGGGGAATATTGAATATATTCCCCAATAAGAACAAAGAACCCAGCAAGGTGAAAAATAAGTATGTATATGTACGTATTGTTGTATTCGATGTGTGTTAGCCCTGCTCGCAGCCTTATTATTTCAATGTCGGGCATTGTCAGCTACACATTATATATTAGGCCAATAATATACAATTCATATACACATTTGCGCATTTTCAGATATAATTATAGAATTACGGTTTCCTAACTCGCAGGAAATGTATTGAGATTTTATTATATTGGCGCTTAGTTCTGTTTCTGTTGAGTAGCTATAATTATAAAGCTTATATAAATTGACGCATAAGCCACGTTCACGCAAGCGGTAAATTCGTGCATATTGCCTTTTCATGAATGACATTTTACATAATATCATCAAAGTCCATAGACACAGTTTTAACACGCAAGATGTACTGACACTAACATAGGTAATATTTAGTTATACCGTATATGGTTTACTCTTAACGTCCCATATAGTCGGTAGACAGTAATAGTAGATTCTGTCAGTTCAGATCCAGATGCATGGCATGCAGACCACACACATGGACAAGCTTTAAAATTTCATATACAGCAATACTATACTAGTAATATAATTAATACTTACCAAACTTCAGCCTCCTTTAAGTTTCCCTCCGATAGTTCGATATGTGATTAAATCAGTCAATGTTCAGTTGCAATTTTCAAAGCTGTTGTCGACGAACAGTGTTATTACACTTAATACAACGCCTTCTATTCAATATTTCATTGATTGGCATCAATTATAAACGAGAAATGGCCTGCCTGGCCCAGTCGTTGGGTCAACAAGTATAAACAGGATCATATAACAGCTCAGCGCAACTGGAGACTACATGCATACGGGTATTGCATATTTTCCTGGGGTCAACTGCCAAAGCCTAGGGGCCCTAAATGCACGAGGTCCCTAAATTTGCGAGGCATCTAAATTCATGAGGCACTTAAAATGGGTGTGTGACCGTGTGTCCCAATAGAAAATGGGCGTGTTCTCGGAAAAATGGTTGTGGCACAGTAAAGTGTGAGGCCCCCACAAGCGTGAGGCCCGCGGCATATGCCGCATCTGCCACGTGGTTAATCCGGCCCTGGTCGTAAGTAACAGGACCTTGAGCATGTTTCTCTTTATGTGTGGTGGTCTTCACGTAATATTTCATTTCACTATTTTAGGGAATAAGCACAGGAAAATTCCACGTTAAATTCATCATCCATTTTACAATACATCGAACCTGTGGTCAAAAGTAATACGATGACTCAAAGAGAGATACGATGAGTCGGAGCAAAGGATCCACCCAACGTGTCAACAGTCAAGGTGTCGAGACACAATGAAACCGACATTGGACAAGTCGAACCCGACACTCGACTCAGAGACATGACGATTATATTTTGTCTGCAATTTCACTTCATATGTTACATTTTGAAATTCTTGCTACAACGTGCAATTTTGCTACAATTTGCAAGAGAGTGTTATATTGTAAATTTGTAGTTGCAGAAAACTGTGGTGCAAGCATTTTCTATACATAAACATACTCTTCAGGAGTTTGGAATGTTTTGTGGGATGACCCATTGTTAATTTGCAAGTGTAGTATTTGTATTCTGAATATATCAATTGTATTTAAAGTGGAGCTGATTTTCGAGAAGATTATGGAAAATTTGGTATGTTTTGTGCAACGTTCATTAAAGTGCCAGCACTTGCACTAACAGCCACAGCAAATAAAATGGATAGGAAACATATAACAGAGTCCCTTGGTTTGAAGAATGGTGACAAATCGTGATCGTAAAATTTTTTTTACAATAAAAGTTTTCAGAGACAGAAAGCTCTCACATGCAAGTTTGTAGATGTTGACAAGACAATAAGAGATGAGTTTATTTAAAAAAATGTGGAAATGTTAAACTTTGTCAGAAGTTTTTGGAGAAAATCAGTGCAAGTTTGAAAGATTTGCAGGATGTTGCAAAGCGATTGAAATTCAGATGAGATCTTTGGAGCAGTCTGATTCACAACAATCAGAGGAGAAAGGGCATCTAATTATCCAGTTGAAATTTCAACATTTACCACTCCATCTGCCTTCTAAGAGTATTCTGATTCCCAAAATAATGTTATATCCATGTAGGCTACAGACGAAATATAAATTGAACAGTTTACACAGTTTTGGCATGGCTTAACCATCTGGACCATCCATTCCATCATATTTGTAAAAATTTGCAACAGAAAAATGGTATTCTTGATCGATATTTTTTTCGAATTGTCTCTGAATAAAAAAGGTTGTATCCTATGGGAGTAGGGGTAAAACAGCTTTTGACATTTTGTAGTAGTTTTGATATGAACAAATTAATCCTGTGGTGGTTTGTGTCACATAGTTGGGTCCACAAGGGTTACATAGCTGGTCCAAAGTTTTTGCAGGCATTGCCGCTACAATTTTTTGCCTGCCAATCTAAAGGCAATGACCTTCAGTGACCATAGTTGATTGACTTAAAGGGGCAATGTCACCGATTTTTGACCTAAAATGCCTTTTATTCAAAAACTGAATTACAAAGTTAAAAATAAACATTGTAAATGGATTAAGTTATGATATATGAGTCATATTAAACAACTTTGAACTTCCACGCAACACGTAACATGACATTTTCATAAAAAATGACTAAAACTTGAAAAAGTGTCTGCCAACAATTAATCAAGATGCTATTTACAATCCATCTCAATCCTGGCGTAATCTTGCCCATCCAGACTTCTGTACATGTTTTTTGTGTCTGTTATTGCTTTATTTTGTGCTGACACTCATTCGTTTTCAGTTTTGGACAAAATTTGCGAGGGTTAGAATTGCTCAAAAATCGGTGACATTGCCCCTTTAAACAATAGTTGATTGACTTAAACAATAGTCAACATATCTTTGCATTGGTGTTTCATTAGCCAACATTCAAAAGGAAAAGCTGAGTCTAAAACTACCAGAGGAGAGATGCTAACATTACTAACTTTCTTTGCAATTCCAAGAATTCTTTGTCCTTGCTCAACTCATCAAGTGGCAATGTGCCTGGATGTGCCCTGAGATTGGCAAGGGTAAATGTGGCAACTGGCAATGTGCCCTGAAATGACACCTCAACTTGCGGGCATGATTTTTGAGCCTGTGTTTTGTTGGATTGCCTAGCAACAGATATGAAAATAAAACATGAAATTCGAGCTTTTCAACCGTGTATCATGCAAGAGAATTCGGTCAAAAACTTACAAAGTTTTCAAGTTTAAAATTTTAGTTTTTCAATAATAATAGACAAAGGCAATACTGTTGCAAAGGATTTCACAGCAAGTTTTAAAAACAAAAGAGAAGAGGTTTTTGAATGATCTACAATGAAAATTTGGCAGCAGAAATAAAAGAGCATGTATTGACGTTTTGGGTTATGTTTTTCTGTGAACCATATGCAAGATTTTCAGCCAAGAGGATGAGAATTTCTCCATAGTCAGAAATACTAAAGTAAAAAATACTTCTCCAAACTAGAAGTCAGAAATCACAAGAAATATGAACACAGAACACAAATGAGCAGATGCAATATTTTTAAGGGTATTTTGAGTAGAAATATGTGATCAAACACTCACAAAAGTTGGTATTTCGGTGGTCTTTTGGTTGTGGAATTTGGCTTTTCAAGGCGAACATCATACGAAAGACTGTGCTGTTGTTCCACTGCGATCATTCATCAAGAGACTTTTGAATCATTCTGCCACCGCGCTGCCAAGTTAATTAATTGTGCGTCATACTTTCAGTATGCCAATTCCACATGGGTCTGATCATAGGCCTCGGGCTGATTCCGAGACCTCGGGAAAATATTTTTTCAGTACGGACCTCGCAGCCAGTAAACAACACATATAAATTAATAATTTAAAGAAATGTGAACAGTGATTCATGTGTGTGATTCATGCATGTCACATACACGTTTGCGTGAAGTTCGCCTGTGTTCCATCTCAAATGTGCGAAATGGTCAATAATTCATTTTTTAGCACCTTTCAATGGTGTGTCTCCAGTATGTTGAAGATATTGACTGCTTATTTTATCTCCTATTTTTATTTTCAATGGAAAAAAATGATATATTATCTTTCCATATCATCAATAATCTTTAATCCTAACTATCAAAATAATCCATAATCTTTTTTTAACTAGCAATAATCCGTAATCCTGTCCAAAAATGCCAAATAATCTGTAATCCTAAAACACTAGCAGGGCCTCATAAAATGAGGTGACCACTACTGTGGGTATCTCCCCAGAAATTTAAATGTGCTGTTGTATATACTGTTAGGGGTGCACCGGAATTTTTCAGAGTTCTGGTTCCGGCCGGAACTAATAAAAAAAACATGGCCGGAACCGGAACCTTCTTGTTTTCAGAGACATAGAATATCAAGTTTATTTATTGAATAGCATAGGAAGAAATTTGGACTACACAAGAAAATGTACACCATTAACACTTCATTATGAAGTTTAACGTTAGTCAATCTTTTTATTCTAACATTTGCGAGCTCTCTCCTTGATGACTGAAAGTGCCCAACTGTCTGGCAGCAGACAAAGTAACATATGACCATATATCGTTTAGGGAG